GATTTTTAAAGGGTGCATATAAAAAAAAACGAACAAGTTTATAATTATTTGAAATGGCAATTGTTCTGATGAGCTTTCCAGATGCTAAACACCAGAAGAGCAACTCTTTGCACCTTCTTGCATGAAGCAGTGATTATATTGACTCAGTTGCTAGGTCAACTGCTAGGAAAGTTGGCTCACTGTGTTGTACCAAACAATTTTTCTCATCAGAATCCATCTTGCACATTTATAAATCTACCAGTCATCTGTGCATTGAATGTTACTGGCAATTGTTCTGATAATTTTTCTTTCTTGGTACCTCGACTGCATGAATTTAAGCATACTACTAGATTAGCAATTAGGTCTCATTTTACTATTGAACTAGCATCTTCTATACCAAGTTTCTTATCTCACACTAATCACCCATAGAACTATTCTGGCTTCTTGCATTGCAGCCATCTACAATCTTCAAAAACTTACATGCAATGGCAATTGCCATCTACAGTCTTCCTGAATTATTCTTTTATTGTCCTTCCTCCTCACAAGTCTTCTCATTCCCTTTCACTTCCAGTAACCCCTTGCATCTTAGTAGCATTATAGTCTTGATTGGGATGAAATGATAAGTTTCCGCCTCCTGCCTCTGACACACGCCGTTGGCATTCATCAGTTTCCTTAAGGAAATACACAATTGTAGTTTCCTGCATGCACTGACGCACATGTTTGTATATGTAGGCTGTATTTGCTACACTAGGGGAGGTGCTGAAAAGTTTTCGAGGCGACCAACTTAAAAAAAAAAAAAAAATACGTAACTCCTATGTCTGGTTATTAATGATATTGGGAAGGGGGTAATTTCCACAGTCCCTTTTGTTTTACTTTTGTATAAGTAGTTTTTACAAACAGAACTTGTTTCAAAAAAGCTTGTTTAAAAGGGAAAGGGAGTAATGAAATTTTCTCAATCGAAGCACATTCCCCCCAAAAATTAGTATTTTAATTTTTATAACCAAACACAAGAAGAGTAATTTTTTTGTACTAAGAGATACTAAACAAAAACAAAAAAAAACGTTAAGAAAAATAAACTAAGTGAGTATGAGTAAGACTTAAAAAAATTAAAATAAAAATTCAACTAGTAAAAAAATAAAAATGCAAAAAGACAATTATTCGCAAATGAACTAGGAAAAGAAAACTAAAAGCAAAAAGCACTAAGTTACGTGATAGAAAAATGGGTGCGGTGAAGTTACCCGCCGTCCCACACATATATTCAACAGGTGGGGGTTACGTATAGTCTGATCTTTTGAACAAGAAAGTTTACCAGTTAAATATGGAATGTGAAATGTCTGTGTTCGGTAAAAAATTTAGAAATATTTTATTTGGCATCCAACTTCAATTACTACACTTTTCCAAGTGTCGACCCAAATTTAAAGTAAAGAAACCAATTTTCTTTTTTTTTTTTATTATTGTACAGTCTATCTGCAAAATGGGAGCATAAATAAATATACTAGAAAAATTAATAATTATAGCTCAATTTTTAAGCTATAATCTTACTCGCAACAACATATGCCGACCTCAGGAAATATGTGCATGCTGTGTTTGTGTTTTTTTTTTTTTTAAATAAAATCGTTTTAAATATGTGTTATTAATTATATATATATAAAATCTACTTTTCTTTGCAAACGCAAAGGAGAGTAATTAGCCAAGGGGAGTAGTGAAAAAAAAACTTACTTAGTAGTTCGTGAAATTAACGGAATATACAGTGGAACCTTGGTTCACGAATTTAATTCGTTCCTGAAGGCCGTTCTTAACCCGAAATGTACGTAAACCGAAACTATTTTTCCAATAGGAATCAATGTAGAAAAGTCACAGTACAATAAAATTGGAAAAGAAAAGCACGCCACAACACACGAATGTATACAACACGGCGGGGTCAACTCGGAAATTATTCCGTTCGGGTTTAAACTCGGTTCGGCAATGTTGTTGGAGAACCGAAATTTTATTCGATAACCGAGGTATTTTCATCTCTAATTTTAAATTTAAAAACCCGATTTGTTCGACATGTGAGACGTTCGAGAACCGAGGTTGCACTGTATATCAAATGATGAATTATTTGGGACTATTTTTACATACCCACGTTTTGTTTTGTTTTGTTTTTATCCAGACCCCAAAACAAACAAAAAAAACAGAATTCGTTTTTAAATGTGACATTTTTTTTTTCACTTACACAACACCCAAAAACTTAACTACCAATAATACGCTGGAATCCAAAAAATACTATATTGTCACTCACAATCACCAAGTCATTTACAAAATACACCATTACACACACACACGAGAACTTCATGTAAACTTTAAAAGTTTTTGTTTTTGTTTTTTTTTTTTCAAAAAAAGAAAAAAAATGCATGGGGTTCACAATCGCTGTGTAGTGTAAAAACAGAGTGCTACAAATTTTGGAAAATAATTACTAACACTGTGGAAGGTGAAGAGAAGTTAGTAGTGGTTTTATTTGAAAGAAAAAATAAGTCTATAAATAAATAACAAAGAAAAATGTAAAGAGCAAATTTGTACTTGACAAACAAGATTTGTGACAACTTGTGAAGAGAACTCAGTGTCAGTCTCTAGTTTGACAGCAAGTTCAATTCTCACTGGGTACTCCCAGGTGTTACCTTGTACTAAAGCTAAAATTTTACTAAAAAGTAAATAAACTGAAGAAAATTTATAAATAAATTTAATTTTGTACAATTAATAGCAACAAGTCTAAGTACAAGCTTATGAAGCTTTCTTTATTTGATTTTATGAAAAATTCGGCTTTAGCGCTGAAAACGTTTTTATTTTAATTTTTATTTTCGTTAACAGCGGATGGTTACATGCGAGAGGGGAGATCGAATGTGCTTATTTTATTACCATAATTTTCAAAGTTATTGCGGAGATATTAATTAATTTAAGAAGTCAAGCACAAGTGAATATTTGCGACAGTTTTTTATGCAAGTTAATTATTCGTTTATTAATGGAAAAATGTTTAACGAAAACAGTATTTTGTAACAATAAAAATTATTAAGAATGGAAAAAAGTTTTTTTTTTTACAAATATCGTAGCGATTGAGATGCACAATATATATATATATATATATAGAGAGAGAGAGAGAGATATTATCCATCTCGTAACTACCAGTTAGTAATGAACGATAACATTCCTTAAGTCGTACACCAAAGTTTTTTACCATCAAGAAAAGAAAAAAAGTTCGAGTTTTCAAAGTCAAAGGTCAACAACAGTTGAAAGCATCTATTTTCAATTTTCATTGATTGTTAATTTTTAAGGGGAAAAAAGCAGATTTATATAAAGAAAATATTCTTTTAAAAATTTTACCCGGATAGTGTTTGTTTTTTTTTTTTTTGTCTTTTTCTAATTCTGTCTTTATGACAACGGGAAAAAAATGAAAATATCACAAGCTTCAGAATAATAAACTAAACAAATTTAATCACTAATTATTAATTAACCAGTGTAAATAAACAGCTTATACGATTTTTAATTATATCGCTTTTATAAACACTACTAGTCTTCTTCATTCGAAATAATTTTTAAAATAATCCCATTCATGTTTTGTACGTTTTGATTTGCAAGTGAGAAGGGTTTTTTTATTTTTTTTATTAATCCATCCCCAAAAATGGGAACATCACAATCAATGTGGAAAAAAATATATATATAGTTTTTAGTACCTTTTTTTTATTATTATTATTATTTAATTAATTATACTATTAAAAACAAATACTCATTTACATATCTTATCGCTCAATAAAGCCACAGAGTTTTGTAGCCCTCCTTCATCTGACCTCTCTAACCCTATTTTTTAGAAAAACTCCCTTATTTTGCCAGAGACAAACTTAAGTGGAGAAGTTTAAGACAATAAATTAAAGGGAGATAGGCAGGCACATCAGCCATCCATAGCCGAAATTAGGAAAAAGAAGAAAAAAAAACATCCTTCCTTGATAAAGCATTTTGCTTAATTCAGTGGTCAATATTGACGAACATCATTATACACTAAGTGTACATACACTCTATACAGTGAAAATTTCAGATCAATTGCGTGACAGGGTACAGATTTATTGATCCACTCTCGACTTTTTCAAAACATTGGAACAAAGTTTAGTTTAGTGGAATATTGCTTCTTTTATTTTGTCTTCATCCACCTCCAGGGGTGGCGGGGGTGGAAGAGTCATTTGAAGAAAAAACAAATTGCCCCCTGTGTGAAAATACTTCAAAACTGAGAGGCTACAACATTCATTTAAAACACGTCAAAAATTGATTTTTAATATTAAATTATTTACGACATATAGTTTTAAAAATAAAATATTTTCAGAAATCTTAAATTTTGCAATGGTCAATTCTTTTTTTTCTTGTTTGATTAATAATTAAAAATATTTCTTTAAATTGACGTAAAAAGACATGAAAGAGTAGAGATGAAGTTCAAAAATAAAATGCCTTTTTTTTAAAATTCTTTCTATGTTTAATTTCTGAAACTTCTAGGAGAAAATCGCAGTCAAAACAAGAATTTTACTTAAACTTTGAACTTATTTTCATATAAAAAAAAAAAGGCCAAAAAAAAATTAACGAAACTGAAAACATGAGAAAAATAAATCCAGTATTGTATTGATAAAAAAAATGAAATGAAAAAAGAGAATGTAAGAAAATAAAATCTACTCTACTTAAAGTAAAAAGATCCGAGATTTGAGAATTAATCCTTTAATTAAGTTTAATTAATTACGATAGTCTACTATAGAAGAAGTACCTGCAAATAAAGAATTTTTTTTAATTTATTCATTTATTTTCATTTCATCGGGACGAGTCACTTCACTTAATGAATAAATATTAGACTAATTAGACAGCCGGCTGTCAAAAAGTAAATTAAATATATTTTGAGATTGAGATGAACAGCTGATTTTATTTTTATTTTGTAACTAAAATTAAGAATTTAAATAAAAAGGTGGTAAGAAGAGTTTCACAGGAAAAAGACAGATGACAGTGACACTCACCTGGACTAGACAGGAGACCCGAGGCAGCAGGTTTGTTTGTCACAGGATGGACCCAAGAAGTTGTTTCGTGTAAATCACTATGTTAAAATAATGAGTAATTATTGAATATTATTTTTATAAAAATAAGCGTTTAATTTATTGATTATTAAAAAAATATATAAATAAATGAAATAAATAACGATCAATAACTGATACATTTTAAAACTTTTTATAGTTTATGAACATGAAAAACAAGTTTAAAGTTAACTGTTAAATGTCTAAAAACTTTGTTAGTAAAAAAAAAAAAAAAATAAATAAATGTTAGGGATTTAGTGACCCTTATTGGCCTTTAACTTATATTTTTAGAAAGTTTTGATTACTTGCTTCAAAATAGTTAAGTATATTAAACATAAACAATATGAATCGATATGTTTTTTTTTAAATGTGAAAAGTTTTTTTGTTCGGGAGAGTGGGGGGAGTATGTTTACTCCCGGAGTACTTTTTAAATTTTATTAATTCAAGTAACTGTTTTAGTTAGAATTAAGAAATCATTCTAAAAAATATGATTAAAGTCAACTGATTGCATTTGGAAAAATGAATCGCAAAATTTTAGATTACAGAGGATGAAGAAAAAGTTCTTCAAAGAGAGAGAGAAAAAATTAAACGGAAGAAAAAGTAAAGATTTTTAAAATAAAATAATAAAAAAAAAAAACACAAGCAACAACTGTCAATTACATGTTTTAGAACAAGGGCGAAATAAATAGCAGCTTGGGTGTAGAGAGACTTGAATCCAGCAATAATGACTATGAATGCCAGAGAGTCAATTTCTAAAAAAGACCGAACAGAGAGATCGGAAATCACTTACTCAATATAAAATACCCTTCCATCGGCAGTTACTCCATAAGTCCAATGTTCGGGTAGAGGTTCCCCGATAATTTCCGCAGAAGCGGCCATGTTATTATCATTAATGATAGAGAAAAAAGTTGAACAAATGCTGACCCTCCCTCCGGACGATTGTCATGTGGCTGTTCCGACCGCCTCCCGCGAGACATTCCACAAACAATTTTTTTTTTCTAAACTTAACAAGTGCGTGTGTTTGAAATATTGTCTTCCATTAATTTTTATGCTTTTTATTTTTAGCCAACCACTTATTTATACGAATATGGTGTAATAATTTAGTTTAAAGAGTATTTTCTGTCAGTATCATATTATTTAACTAAAGAAAATTATATTTAAAAAAAAACAAGCAAACGCCCCTTAATGCTAGATTTGAAGTTGGTCAGCAATCAGTTATAAAGTCATTGAGCCTGAGGCTTTTTTTCTCCCTCTCCCCGTCCGATGTAGGATTTTTGTCGGTTTTTTTTTTCTTTTCATATCTGTTTCCTAATCTTCTTTTAAGAGACTTTTACTGGGTTTTGAAAATATTATTACTTCTATATTTTTACGTATAATTGGGTTCAGACAGAAATTAGATACCTAGAGACTTGTCAAACATTTTTTCTACAATTTGATAATAAAAATGACATTTTGATTTAAGCGAAAAAAATGAAATAAAAATAAAATCCTTATAAAATTTAATTCAGTCGTTGAAAAGCCAAAGATTGTATAATATTTTTTTTCAAAACATCATTTGAAACTAACTCTTACAATTCGACGAATGATCCCAACCATTTTGAAGGAGGAATCGTGTGTAGTGTGTGTGTTAGGGAGAGAGAGAGAGAGAGAATATGAATCTATCGTGGAGAAAGCAAATGGGGAAAAAAAACACTCAAGAAAAATGACGGCAATTCAGAGTTTTACACTTTAGTACACTTTAAAGATATTAAAAAAAAAATGGTCAGGAGAGGTATGATCACCTACATTATAGAGATGAAATAAAAAAGGAGGAGGAGGTGGATCTGTCGTATTCTACATGAAAACTTTTTTGGCGTTTTTACAAAAACGCACTCCTCCAAGAAATAATCTCTTTTTTCACTACTGTCACACCGCGAATAAGACTTTTTCTTCTGTTTATATTTGTTTTCTTTCGTTAATTTTTATTGTTTTTTTTATTGTTTTTTTTTTTTTTAAGAAAAGGAGATCAGTTTGACTTTGATACTTAAATTCACTGTGTAGTGTTGACCAACTCCGCCACACAAGCCATAATATTAATAACAATAATATTAATAACAATAATATTGATAAAATAATACCATATGATAAAGTAAAGTATATTCTCATAAAATTTCAAATCAAGTTAAAATAAAAAAGTTAATATTTACTTTCAAAGCATTCCTTGTGTGTGTTTGTGTGTGTGTGTGCGCGCACGCGCGTACGCACGCGATCGCTATAGTTAAGCAGCAAAAATTCATTTAAACAAGTTTTATTAAATTCGCTCATTGTCTCTGTCACAAAATTCTTTTCTTTTGCCTACGTCACAACTCTCACCAGTTCTACGAAACGCACCATTTGTCTCAACCTATCCTCATGATGACGACTTAAGAAAGTTGAAAGATGGTCCATATTTCTTTCGAAATGATCTTCGGATAATTTCTGACGGAATTCCATTCTTATCTTAGAAAGATTATTCGTAATTTGGAAAAGTCGATCAGTAAAACTAATCGGCACAAAATGTCTGTTGTCTTTATTTTCCTTAAAAAAAAATTTGTTGCCTCAAGTACACAGATATCCAAACAAGCTTATCAATAGCTGCATCTATCGCAAGGAAAGTTGGTTCTGTATCGCGCCATAAGATTTTTCTCGCCTCAGTCCATAATACACATCCACAAATCTACCATTCGTCCATGAATGGAATACTGTTGCCATATATGGTCTGGCGCCCCGTTGTTCACATCGAGATTCTAGACAAAATTCAAAAACGGATCTGCAATGTGATCGTTCCTGACTTAGGGTGTCGACTCCAGTTACTTTCTCACCGACGTAATGTGGCTTCCCTCTGTCGTTTCTAAAAATATTATCATGGCTTCTGCTCTGACGAGCTATTTTCACTGGTGCCCTGACTACATGAATTTAAGCGCACTACTAGCTTGGCATCTCGGTCCCACCCTTTTACTGTCGAAAAAATTAAATGTAACCGCCTCTTCTAGTCCAGCTTCTTTCGCACTTCCCGACCGTGGAATTCCCCTCCTCTTATTTGATTCCCTGATAACTATAATCTTCAAAAATTTAAATGTAATGTTAATCGATATCTTCTGATGCTTTGATCCCTGTTCTTCTTTTTATCCTTCCCCACTTATATACCCAGTCTTTTTCCCTTACTTACTCTCTGTGTAGTCCCTTGCATACTAGTCTTGCTTGGGGCAAAATGCTTAAAAACAAAAAACGTTTGATAAAAACAAACAAACGATAAGGTCTGTCTATTTCTTTTTTATATTTTCTCTAATCATGTAGTCGACAAAGAAATAAAATTAAAACCTTAACGAAATTTAGAAAAATAACGTCAGACCCGTCCCTGACACAAACAAAAATAAACACACCATTCATTAAATCAACTTATTCTATTTTAACCAAATGTACCCTAACTATAAACAGGATGAAAAGGCAATTAAAAACAAAATTCACTCTTTTTATTTTTATTTTTATGTGCCGTGTCCTTTCAGGGCATAGGGGATCAAGGCTCTCCACTTTCCTCTATCCCTTACAGCTCTCAACAAGTTCTGTCTCCTTGCCACCTCCTCTAGACCACGTTCTGTCATCCACTTGCTTAAGCCCGCTAGTTATGTCATACGTTGTTTTCTCTAGTCTCTCTTTTCCTCGATCTGTGAGTATCAGATTCTCCAGACCCTCCTTCCTCATTACGTGTCCTAGAAACTTCAGCTGCCTCTTCTGATGTTAAGATTTTATTATCCACTATAAAAAGTTCAAAACATCAAACTTAATTATTACCAACAACACCGGGCCTCATAACCCTTAGGCCATGTAAAAATAATGTTGTCTATGAATTCTCATAACCCTTGGGGGATTGCCTTTTCAACACTAATAATAAAAACAATATTAAATACTTACATTAGACACACATGCACGACACTCTCTTGCATATTGACCTGTCACCTGTCGAAACTCAGTACATCATGGACAACTAAAATGTAACTAGCAACATAAGAGAAATATTAGTAGATAATATCTAAAGTAGTCTACAGCGTCCATCGCAAAACTCAAAACTCTTGAAGCTATTATTATACAAAATAAACAGTCCATATTAAATAAAATATCATTCACCACGGGAGATGGTATATAGGAGAACATATGATATAATTAATGTGCGCACATAGTATATTAGTATTAAGAATAAATGTAAAATATTAATTTATTAATAAAATAAATAAGTCGCATTCTTTTTGTGCAGCCTCGTTCCCAACACCCGTTACACATGACGTCACGCTAAACCATTTCAAACGCCCAAAGAATACCAGGATGCAGACAAAGGAATTCTAACAACCACACAGACACCGCAATCGTTCCTGATAATGACTGCGAGAGTCGAAAGTTTTTCTTCCTTTTATATGCCTTGCCCATTCAGGATGTGGGCGATCATGGCTCTCCATTTCTTCATGTCCCTTGTATCTGTAGAGGGGCCGTGGCTGTTATGTTGTTGATAGAAGTCAGACATAGAAGAAACGCAAGTAAGGTTCAGATACTCCTGCCCGCCGGGCCCAACTACATAAAAATGTTGGACTTTGATTAAGTCCAAAGAAGAAGGAAAAGAAAGCAAACAAAACACAAGACCGATAATATATGTATATACAAATATATATTAATAACAAGTTACAATACATGGAAACAGTACAAAGGACGAAGTGTGTGTGAATATTCTGTATGTGCGTGTGTGTGTGAATATTCTGCATGTGCGTGCGTGTGTGTGTATTGTGCTTAGCGTGTTTCCACGCTATTCCTTTGTTAGCGCCTACATTTCGAGGTTGATAGCTGAAATCCTGAAGGAAAAAGAGATAGAGGTGAAGGGTCAGCAGCTATTTATAGCCAGGGAAGAGAGACCCCTGGTGAAAGGGTTAACGGACTGAAGGAGGAGTTAACTCCGACATATCTCTCAATAAGTTTTGTCTTTTTGTTATTTCTCCCAGACCCTGCTCTCCCACCCACTTGCTTAAGCCCGTTAAGTATGTCACCCGTTGTTTGCCCTTGTCTCTCTTTACCTCTATCCACCCTGTGTGTATCAGATTTTCCAAGCCCTCCTTTTTCATTACGTGTCCCGGAAATTTCAGCTGCATCTTCCTGATGTTAAGTATAAGTTTCCTTTTTATTTACATCCTCTCCAAAACCTCATCGTTGCTCACATGTTCGGTCTATGGTATCCTTAGCATCCTTCTGTAGTACCGCACCACTGTTGCATCGAGACTCTTATTCATCTTTGAGGAGACCGTCCAAGATTCGCTGCCATAAAGGAGGACAGATATCACGTAGCAGTTCAGTACACTTTTTTTTTTTTTTTTTTTCTTTTCTTTTTTTTCTTTTCTTTTTTTTTCCTTTTTTTTCTTTTTTTCTTTTTTTTCTTTTCTTTTTTTTCCTTTTTTTCTTTTCTTTTTTTTCCTTTTTTTTCCTTTTTTTTCCTTTTTTTTTCTTTTTTTTTTTTCTTGTTACCAACGAAACCCTCCTGTCTCGTAATACTCTGCCTAGCTTCTGAATTGCACCTTTAGCCATTCCAATACGTCTTCGGATCTCAGCGTCGCACTTACCGTCTTCTGACAGAACACTTCACAGATATTTAAATTTCCCAAACTGCTTTATGATAGTGTAACCCCCACCCACCCCTGACCTTTAAATCGTATTTCGGGCTCATCTTTTTCCTGATGACCATGCATTCTGTCTTCTTATAGTTTATGCTTACTCTCTTCTTTTCGCTCTCTTTAGTACAGAAATAACGAAATAAGTCCGGACAGTTTATCCACAACTTCAAGCACAAGACTCAACACCTTATCCGAAAATTTGAAAAATATAAA